GCCTGATCATGGGGCATCATCCAGTGAGAAATGTCCAGCACGGAACTTCACAAACCACATCTGACACACATTCGATCAGCCACAGCACCTTCTCTACACACTGCACAAATCTCGTGTTTCAGTTGTGTTTTTACCTTTCTTGAAATAATAAAGCATAATATGCTGAAAATGTTGCATATTTTCTTCCATCTTCAATACCAAAGTGGCCACACAAAATTTCACCAATTTGGTAAGTGTTTTTAAAAATGCACGCTGGGCCCTGGCTGGTGTGGCTCAGTGGACTGAGTGCTGCTGGCCTGTGAACCAAAGGGTTGCTGGTTCAATCAAATCACCAGTCAAGGCACATGCCTGGGTTGCAGCCAGGTCCCCAGTAGGGGGCGCATGGGAAGCAACCACACACATGTTTCTCTCCCTCTCTTTCTTCCTCCCTTCCCCTCTCTCTAAAAAGAAATAAACAAAATCTAAAAAAAAAAAAATGCACACTGACGTGACAACTGTTCCAATACAATCTAACAAAATTGTTCTGAATGAAGTTAAAGACAACTAAGTGCTACTACAGCCATCTTACAGAAAAAAAAAACACCACCAAATGAACTTTTTGGCCAACCCTAATACAACTGCTGAGAAAGAGAAATGGAGTAGGAATTAAGATTCATATGTAAAAGATGAGAATTAAATTCCTATCACCGTCAATGTAGTGGATCTCCTGTGAGGTCAGAGAATCTCCATGGAGCATAGACTAAGAGCAAAAAGTCACAGATTCAAGCTGTGTGACCTTGGGCCCATCAATTATTCTCCCTGAGTCAGTTGCCTCATCTCTACAATAAAGAGAATGATATCTATCTCAGGGTATTTCTGTAAGATTAAATAAGTATGAGCTGAATATAAAAGCAGATCCTCCCAGTATTCATGTTTATACAGTGAGAGGGTCTCATATGTTGGCTTCCAGCATGAATGGACCAAGTGCTTTGGAAAGGCATCACCGGCACCTCATCCACAAAGGCTCCCATTACATGGAAAGGAGTTCGGAAACTAAATGGTCTGAGGCTCCCTGGACTAAACCAGAACCCAGTTCTCAGGCATCTGGAGTCTTGACAGGAAACCTCAACACCACTGCCATCGTGCCGGTGGGAACGTATTCTCTCTCTCTCTCTCTCTCTCTGCCTTCTCCCCATTTTCAACTTAAAAGTGACCACATTCCACATAGAACTTAAGACAATGGTTTTTTTCTGCTTCCTTTATTTATTTATTTTTTATTGATTTTAGAGAGAGAGGCAGGGAAGGAGAGAGGGAAGAGGGGAGAGAGACAGACAGACAGACAGACACTGGTTTGTTGTTCCACTTATTTATGTAGTTATTGGTTGATTCTTGTATGTGCCCTGACCAGGGATTGACCCACAACCTTGGTCAGTGGGGACAGCGCTCTAACCCCTGGCGCTACCTGGCCAGGCCTCTCCGCTTCCTTTTAAAGTTCATACTCTGTTCCTCAGAAGATCCCATTTGAATCCCTCCAACGCTGGCAGTCATGGGGTCCTGTGCCTGATGCTACAGAGCTGTTACACAGAGCAGAGAGCCAGATCATCCGGGGGCGCCCATGATACATGTCTGTATAGTGGCTGCTGGCCAGCTCTTGGCTCAGCTTCCGCAGCAGAGAGCTCCCCACCAAGAAAATTCAAGCTGAACATCTCACCTGCTGCCTGATGGGCCCTAATATCAAGTTTTGTTGTTCAATACTTATCGAGTGCTTTCTACATCCTAGGCACTTGGAACATAAGCATGAACATAATGTAGTCCTCAGGCTCAGGTCGAGGAGACAGACACATAAGCAGGTAATTATAAAACAATGTGGTAAGTACAAAAATAGAGAAATTACAGGATCACTGAGAGGCAAACCTGACTCAGGTGGGCAGTTCTTTCTGGAAGAGGTGACACGTGTGCAGTTTTAAAGGCTGGCTCAGGGGAGGAAGAACTGAGGAGTGGGATGGAGGCAGTGTGGAAAGGGCATTTGGGGCAATAGCAATCAGCAAAGAAACAAATGTCCCAGACAGCATGGTTTACGAGAGGCACTCAAGGCCGCTGGAGAAGGCCAGAACCTAACCTGTGACATGGGGCTGGACACCGGGCACGGGGGCCCTGTGCACCCTGTTCTACAGGATGAACTTTGTCCTTAGGTGTGGGGCAGCCAACAGTTTAAAGGTTTTAAGCACAAGAGTGATGCAGTTTCTATATTCTTCCATTTAGGAGTTCTTTTTTTTTTTTTTAAGGGAAATTGCAGGACAGCCAAGAAAGCTACTGAGCTGGGCTTTGGGAGCCCCAGGGCCAGTGCAGCCCTGCCCGCCTCATGGCCAAAAGCAAGCCCAGCTCTCCTTCCACCTCTGGCCTCTTCCTCCCATCTGCTCAGCCTCTCTGTGATGCTGACCTCATTAGAAGGTGATGTGGGTAGAAGGTGATGTAGGTAGAAGGGGATGTGGGCGCAAGGTGACTCAGTATTACAAATGGCTTTGAAGCAGGCAGAAGGCCACACTGAGCCCTGGGCATCTTTCTGCAGTGGGGACCTTGGCAGTGAGGCAGGCCTGGTGAGCAGGCCCCAGGGCAGTCAGGTTGGCTGCAACATACTCAGGAGCCTGCCTGCATCTCATCTTGCAGCTTCTCCTCCCTCCCTCCTAACAGCACTGGCTGGCTTCACCTGACACTGCAGTGGAAGGGAGGGGGCAGGAGGACACAAGCCCACCTTGCAGGGGGAGCACCAGTCACTGTGACCACCCCAGCTAAAAACTCTGGTTCCCATGCTTTTCCCAACCACTGTATGTCTTACCTCTAGAGCTGCCATTTGGAACTATTCCCTAACCCCAACTTCTTTGATCTCCTTAGTCCTATTCCTCACTACCTGCCCCCACACCCAGAACCCCAGGCTTTGGTGAGGTTCTGTCCACTTCCTCGCTGCTGAATCGTGCTCCTCTGTGACTCCTTCAGTAACTCCTGACTCCCTAAGCCTTCCCTGATTACTCCTTCACACCTGACCCCTCCCTTCCATCATTCCCCTGCATTCTGAACACATGAGTACATTGTAATGCACTCACTTTACAGTTTGGCTGCTGTAACCTCTCCCCACACTAATCACTAATCCCTGAATCTGCATTTCTTCCTTATGACGTTCCCTCCCCAGGCAATGCCTTCCTCCTCCTCCTCCTCCTCCTCCCACTTCTGACCTCTGCTTCATCCTTCAAGGCACAGCACAAATGTCATCCTGACCCTAAGGCTTTCCCCTATCACCTCCAAGACAGATTAACTCTAATAGGAATTTGTTCACCTTTATTAAATTATGGGTTTTTGCTTATATCATAATAACCTAGTACCTGGGTACCGGGAACCTCTGAGAGGACATTGTATATAGTAACTCATTTAGCCCACAGAACCACCCTGTTATTATCTCCAAGTTTACAGCTAGTCGATGGAAGAACTAACCTACGCCACCTCCCCCCACACCATGCTTCTTCACCTTCAGACCAGGAAACCTTTGCATTTAGGAGCTACAGTCTATTCTGCTGGTACTCTAACTGCCTAGCACACAGTAGGTGATGACTAAATGCGTTCTGAATTTAACTGAAATTTGTTCCGCATGCATTCCTCACAGGTATGTTCTGCCTTCCACAGGCATGCATGAGATCCGCAAGGAGAAAAGGCCAGACCACCTCTTTTCTTCACAGGCCCACAGTCCCAAAGCATAATGAGCTGGGGGAAATGTAGAGAGGTCTGGGGGTGCAGCTGGGGGCAAACTAATTTTAGATAATATATGTCTCAAGTGTGCCCAATTCACAAAGGTTTTTGCACATGGCTGATCTCATAGGTTCTGAAATCAGCCAGCAGGCGAGGAAGATGGAAAGAAGATGAAGAAGGTAGGAAGACTGAGGGACAGGTTGCCTGAGACCTGGCCAAACTCTCAGAGGCAGAAATATCTGAATGAAATTACAGAGATTACACCCCAGGGTTCTGAACGAAGCACCCACAAGCAGGTCTCCTGTTCACCCTTCTGGCCCTGCACAGCTCCGGCAGTCATGAGTGGGCAGCCGGGGTAGCTTTGGCAGCCGGGGTAGCTTTGGCAGCTGGCGCAGGTGGGAGGCAGGTGGGAGGCTGGTGAGAGGCAGAGATCTGGCCAAAGGGGAGGCTGGCTGAGCTGAGGTGGGGCAGCGTGGGTTAAGTCAGGTTTGGTCACCCTCACCAGACATGACAGAACACCCTGAGAGCTGACATGATTTCCAAGTGGTCGGATAATACAGATATAAAGAGTCAGGAAAAACTGGTTTGTCCATTGCATTAATTGGAGGTAGTCAATGTTTCCATGTTATTTATAACTATCCCATTGGATTTCTTAAAATCTGTACTTTTATTGGCCTAACTCAACACAACTTCAGGTAAAATTTACTTGATGTTGTGTGCATAGGGAATGGTTTTCAGGCTCAGGCAGCCTCTGCAGAAAGGGAAGCTTTTTCCTAATAGACAGGGCAATGAACTTCTGTCTAAAAGCCCTGGCTTAGCTTACCAATGGGGTGGTCTTCCTTTCCCCAAGTCTCTTTTTCCCCTGAGCCTTGATCTCCCTCTATTACAAAATGGTCATGAAAATGCCCATCCACTCCCTAAGAATTCTGGCAATGACCTGCGCCAAGGCCTGTGAGCTGATCTGAAAGGTCTCACTATTCAGGAAATGAATGAGATACTACAGATGTCTGCACCGAAACGTGGACAGAACCACCTCCCACTGGGAAACCTTCGACCCCTGGAGCTTAAGCGAAGGCTCTCAGGTCGCTGAGCTCCTACGGTGGCATCGACGGGAGCAAGACAGACTGTGTAACTACCAGGGCGCGGCGGAGTGGATCCCAAAGCCGGGCTTCCTGACCGCGGCACACGGAGGGCGTGGGGCTGCTCTTCCCCATCCTCCTGGTGGCAGTGAGGCGCCCCCGGAGGCCAGCCGAGCTCCGGGGTTGGAGAAACACCCCACTTACCTGCGGCTCCACCAACCAGCGCTGCTCCGCGCCGGCGGGCAGGGGGCGCGGGGCACGGAACGCCGAGTACACGGGGATGCGGTCCCGGGTGCTGTACAGCGTAGCGAAGTGCTCGGTGCCCTCGGAGCGCTGACAGATCTTCACGTGGCCCTCGGCCGCCAGCCCCGCCGGCGGAGTCTCGGCGTAGAAGAACCGGTCGCATTCGCCAAAGCCGGCGTCCTCCTGGTCCACGAGCCGGCCTTCCAGCCGCGCGCTCAGGGCCAGGAGGCCGCCGAGCGCGAGCCAGAGCGCGGGGCCCATGTCGACCTCTGCGAGCGCTGGGCGGCCGCGGCGCGGGCTCTGCTGGCCGCGCTGGAGGGGAAGTGGAACCGGGCGCGGCGGGGCGGGGAGCGGGCGGCGGGGCGGCCCGGCGGCGGGGGCGTGTCCGCGTCCCGAGGCCGCGCCTCCCTCGCACCCTCCTTCGCCGAAGATGGTGGCGGCGGAGGCTGGCGGCCGGGGCTGGGGATGCGGACACCGCCCCCGAGGCTGCACCCGGGCGGGCTCACGGACGCAGGGCGCCAGCGGCCGCTCCCCCTCGTCTCCGCAGTCCGCGGGAACGCGAGCTCCGAAGAGTAGAGGGTCTCAGCGGGTCAGTCTAGTCGGAGGGGCTGGGAAAGGACGGTCCCCTGGGCGGGGCGCCGGGAAGCCTCCCGAGCAAAAGCGCCGCAGGGAGCCTGTGGGATGATGCAAAGGGGCAGTATGAGATGCTTAGATAACTGTGTCTCTTTGAAGCAAGTGGGCAGAGACCCCCTCTAATATCCGATGAAAATTAGCCTCCCTCTCACAACGAAGTGTTCAACTGCTTGCACTGGAACACGACCTGGACATATCCTTAGCAGATCAGAAGAGGAGAGACCCAAGTTAAGGAATCCTGATACATGAAGTTCCTAACCTAGGCAGTGAAGCCCTTGCGGTTTAAATGGTGCAAGGCGTGGAAACAAAACCAATACCAAGGCAACAAAGAAGACTAGTCAACATCCCTGGCCGGTAGGTTGGTTGATACATTGCTTCGTTCATCCCACAGAGTGCCTGTGTGCTAGCCTGGCTCAGGTATTCAAGCAGGACAGGGTTCCTGGGGCCTGAGGAAGACAGCCTAGTGGGGAAGCTTGTCATTAACCACAGAATCATGCTATAAAAGGAATAATTAAACCCTGGCCATGGACCAGTGAGAACCTGACCCCCCCAGGGATTCAGGATATCTAGCCTGAAGAACTGAAGTCTGAGCTGAGACTGGGTGGGTGACATTAACCCTGCAAAGAGTAAAACAGCATGTGTTGGCGGAATTTAAGGAAGGCTGGGCCACACTAGCCCACCCACAAAACTTTCTGTGACCCACTAGTGACTGTGGGCTTAGAGCAAGGAGATTATGAAGAATGAGGCTAAAAAAGGAGGCAGGGTCATATCACTCATGGGGTCATAGGCCAGAGGCCTTCAAACACTTTTGACAGGACCCACAATGAGAAAACAAGTTTCACGTCATAATACTTGTGCTCGTGATTGGCAGTGCGGCCTGTTATTTCTATTTTATTCTATTTTTGTACCACTTTAAAAAATATTTGATTTATTTTTAGAGAGAGGGGAAGGAAAGGAGAAAGAGTGGGAGAGAAACATCAATGTGTGGTTGCATCTCATGTGTCCCCCACTGGGGACCTGGCCTGCAACCCAGGCATGTGCCCTGACTGGGAATGGAACCAGTGACCCTTTGCTTCACAGGCCCATGTTCAATCCACTGAGCTACACTAGCCAGGGCAATTTTGTACCTGGGCACAAAAGGGCAGTACAGGGCACTTTTTTTTAATGCTAATGGTGAGCCACGAAACTGTTGCTGTGACCCACTAGTGATCCATGGCCTACTGTTTGGAAAGAAGTATTATAAATGATATTGAGGATTTTCATCTTCCGGCAGTAGTGCTGCAGTCCCATTTGCTCTTTGTGCAGAAATGGGCGGAGTGGAGTGGTCAAGAATGAGTGGAGAAAAATATTTGCAATAACCCAGGTGAGCGATGGTAGCTCAAAGGACCGTGGCAGAGGGGGAGCCAGAGCTCCTCCTCCGGGCCAGGTACTCGCACTCACAGCGAACCACTTCATCTTGTCCCCCCAGTGTGCCCCACTTCTTCTGAACTGAGAACAGAAGTCCTCTGACGTCTGCCTGAGACAGCACAGCCAGTGCGTCCTGAGCCAGCTTTGAACCAGGTCTGTCTGGTTTCCTCTACGTCACAGCAAATCTGTAAGGTGAACCTACAAAGTAGGAGACAGATTGTCAGAACGTATTTTGGAGCTTAAGAGGAAATTCCGTGCAGGCTTCAATTCCTGAAAGTGTTGACTAGGTTTGGTCCCTAAAATGAGACCTAAATCTGTATCTTTTTTAAGAGGCACATTTAGTGTAATGTCACAGAGGAGGCTAGCTAGACTTGGAGTCCCCTCTGATGTGGAGTAGATGACCGTGGTCACCCAGGCCTCGTATCTCCGCCAAGTCCTGTCACCCGCAGACCTCAGGCGTGTCCTCTCTTAGACGGTGCCTATCCTAGGAGGCTGTGAGAATTGTAGATTCTATGGGATTTTTAATGTTTATATTATTATATGGGATCATATGCGTTCCGCAATGTCAATTCATGCTGTGAACTATAGAGAACTATACAAACACCTATAAATCAATCTCCCTGTGTTCTTTGTAAGTGCTTCTATTATAATGTCAGGACATGAATAGTCCCTGTGTCTGTCCTCTTTACTGACTGCGTGCTCCTGCGAACAAGGGTGAGGTCTGCTTGGTCTCTAGACCTGGCGGCTACCACAGAGTCTGGAGTAATAAATGTCACATGGGATGCTGATGTTATACTTTAGCAAATGCGGGAAATATAAGAAAATACATTCTTGGTCTTTATAACTTAAAATATTTACATGACTTTAATTCATTATTTCTGAAACTTTGTGGATGACTTGGATAAGGACGACTATCTCTGTGGGTCCTCTCCGATCCCTGGGGCAGGTTGTCATTCCCCCCAGGCCCCTGACACACACACACACACACACACACACACACACACACACACAGAGCGCTAGCACAACTCACAGCCAGGATGAGTTTGCTTTATTTCCTTTAGTTTGTAGCACAAGACAACAGAGGGTTTTGGTTTGCTTGCCTTCCAAAAATCAAATTAGTGTAATACCGAGCATGCTTTTGCAAATTACAAATGTCCTCACCCCAAGGTTCTGGAACACACTGTAGGGTGCAAGTGTCTTGATCTAACTTTAGTTTTTGCTGACTGCTTGTTCCAGAGGAAGACCGTCTTCAGCTGCTTCTGTATGCACAGCACATCATCCAGCGATAGTTCAGTGCCGTCTCTGGCCTCCGGTCCCTTTCCTTTCCCACCGACTATTCTCACAGGGATGCGGTTTCGGACCGATCCTCCTGGGCCTCTGTGCTCACACCCATGCCAGCCCAGCCAGCATCTGTCTGCAGCCTTCAGCAAAGGCCCGAAGAGGGAAAATAATGGCTGATGTGGAATAAAACAACATTCTACTTGTACTTCTGCCGTTTGGTTGTTTCTTTCGGAAACGGCTTGAAAATATGCGCCCACTAGACGCGTCGCCAGCCCCCACCCCAGTCCTCACTGCCGCGGTGCTCTGGTGGTGAGCGTCTCCCCACCACCGCCACCTGAGACCAACCACCCCAGCTCACCTCTCATCCCACGTTTATCCTCTCATCTCCTCCAATCCATTTTCCAGCTCCAGTGACTTCCTGAAATGAACCTGATGATGTCATCCTGCTCTTACAGCCCTTCAATCACTCTCCATTCATTTTCTGCCGCCTGATGCCCAGACCACTGAGACTGGCCCCTCCCTCCGGGGGTGGAGCCCCTCCCACCTGGCCCTCTGCGCTCCTGTGGTTCCTTGAACATGGTTCCTCTCTCTTGTCCTGGAGCCTTTGCACCATAAACTACCTCCCTTGGCCTGGAATTCTTACCACACATTTAAATCTTTTCACCTCTTTCATTTACTTTTAGATTTTTTTTGTGTATGATCCAGCTAAACATTAGTTCCTCAGGTCACCCATCTTCCTGACAAGTGTGCCCTCACCTTTTCACCTTTTGTCCCCTCCTGCCCTATGTGAGGTTAAGGGTGTTTATTAAACCATTATTTCCCCTGTATCTAATTACTGCCTTTCCACTCAGACATAAACATAGTGTATTCAATACAGTAACTGAGTAAATGAATGAATGAATGAAAAAATCCTTTCTTCATTTAACTTCATTTAGATTTGCATGGTCTAATTCATTTATTTATTTTCAAGACATTTTTTTAAAAACATCTACCATGAAGCTAGTCATTATGCTGAAAGCTGGTGATTTGGAGGGAGCAAAGTTAGGCCTGGTCACTGCTCCCCATGGCAGTCACGGGCAGCCTCTGCCAGCTGCTCCGCTGGGCCAGGGAAGGGCAAGGCCGTGAACTTTGCTGCAGATGGCCAGTTCTGAAACATTGGCTTCACATCCAGCTCCCTTCAAGTGCAAAACTGACACAGACCTTTGCACCAAAGAACTTTCAGTAGGTTAAGAAGACGGACAGACGAGCAATTACAATACAGTGTGGGAGGTGCTCTTTAAGGGAAGTACTATGCGCTATGAGAGCTGAGAAGGGTCACCTACACCAGTCTGGGGAGAAGCAGCCCTGGAAAGACAATGGGAATGGTAGAAAGTCACATGTAGTGATTAGATATGTTGAGTCCTGGCTGGTGTGACTCGTGGATTGAGGGCCGAGCTGCTGAGGGGGCGACTTTCCTCGCAAGTCCTCCCAGTTGCCATGGATGAAAAATAAATATGACCGAGACATGATGTGATCTGCTTGGGGAGGAGAGGTGAGCAGTGGCCCGTTTCACAAGGGAAAAAGGCCTCGAGCCCCCTCCCCCATAGCCTTTTATTGGATTGTAATACACAGGAATACAGGGCGACAAGGATCAAACAGTAGATAACATTTCAAAGAAATCTGAGGGCTTAGTATGAGTCAGAGTCTGTCAGGAACAGAGTTTTAGGGTTTCTTGCTGGAACCCTGAATATATGAATGAAAGCACTCTTAGCAGAGCAGATTTCACAGGTTTGTCAGGAAGTCTTTGTGATGCCAGATTTTTCCCCAAGACACACTCTAGCAAGGCAAGGAGCTGCACCTCTCCCCATCAGGTATTCAGGCTTAAGGGGATTAGAGCCAGGAAGCTCTTCTCCCAGAGAACATGGGCACTCGGGCTATGTCAAAGTCGGGGTTGGGGGTGGGGTTGAGGGGTGGCAAGAGTCCATTGCTCCCTCTTTGTTGCAGCCCCCTGAGTCCTTCCATGAAGGCCTCCCAAGTGATCCAGTCTGGCTTAGGTTGCTCCCCGCTGTGAGGGGTCTTACCCGTCATTGACTTCTCACCAAGCTTTGGGGGCAGGGAGAGGAACTGAGGCAGCGTTTGCTACCAGAGACAGGCTTTATCTCCTGCGGCTTGCATTCCAGAGGTCATCCCTCGCCCTTAGCCACAAGGGGTAGAGATACAATTCCTAGAACCAGGCAGAGCGATCTACAACAGCCTGTGAACCAAAGGGTTGCTGGTTTGATTCCCAGTCAGGGCACATGCCTGGGTTGTGGGTCAGGTCCCCAGTTGGGGGCATGTGAGTGGCAACAACACATTGATGTTTTTCTCCCTCTCCTTTTCCCTCCCTTCCCCTCTGTCTAAAAATAAATAAATATAATCTTTAAAAAATATGTTGACGCAATGGCTCATAAACTAGAATAATAATTTATAAGCACCTAAAACTACTTCTTTATCTCTCTTCTCGGTAGATTGTCCAGCAGTTATATAAAACTGTCGAATAATAAGTTAACCCCATTTGGATTACTAGGTGAGGTGAGGAGGCCGAGGAGTAGCTCCAATATCGCCGGAATGCCTGATTTATTTTCCTAACAATGACTAAAACTAGGAAAGCATGCCTGGCTCACATCCTCTAGTGAGAGGCGGAAAGCCTCCGAGTCCAAAGGGACATTGACACTCCAGCCAATAGGAGGCTGAATCGTGCTCAGCTGAATCAGTGGGCGGAGCTGCCTTCCTTCCAGCAAAGCTACTCTTTGGATGACGCCTAAGAGTAACATGGGAGAACTGCCGTTGCCCCGGAAGAAGCACCCATGTGTACACATCTATAGCCTCTCCCCATTAGCCGGTACTGGAAAGGACACCTGGCCCACAGAGCCACTGGGCACTTCCGGTTGGTCAACTGTCTTTGCAAATTTGTCCAGATGTTAGAGGATTACTTCAGCCAGGAATAACTTTGAATCCCTTCATGAAGAGATATATTTACATGAAAATAATTTTTCCGACATATATATATGTGTGTGTATATATATATATATATCAATAAAAAGTAAATAAATAAAAATTAAAAAAATATTTTTTTCTGAAACTTTTTCTGGCTTTCCATCTTGATAAGGAGAAGAATATAGGGGTTATGAGCTTGAACTCTGAGGTCAGACTGTCTGGGTTCAAATGCCTACTCCTTTTACTGGCCGTGTGATCTGGACAAATTGTTAACCCTTTCTAAGCCTTAATTTTCTCATCTATAAAAGGAGGATAATGACAGAACCTACCTCCTAGTGTTAAGTATTAAATGCATTTAACATCTCTAAAATTGGAGTGCATTTTACAATTGATAGGTGGCATAGTTTAATTGCTTCCATGGTATGTAAAATAATGGTGCATCTTATAATCAGTGGAGGTTCTGATGAGTCTTGGTGACCAAAATCTCCCCCCTCCAGATACAGATACACTGCCTGGCTTGGCTTTCTTGCCTAATCCTGTTAATATTACTTAGTATTTGTCACAATCCTTTCAGGATGAAACAAAATGCCATAGACTGGGTGGCTTATAAACAACAAACATTTATTTCTTATAGTTCTGGGAAGCCTAAGATTGAAGTGCCAGCAGAATCAGTGTCTGGCGAGAGGCCACCAGGTTCATAGGCATGTGTCCCCATATGTCAGAAGGGACAAGCAAGCTCTTTGGGGCTCCTTTTTTAAGGCTACTAATCCATTTCATGAGGGCTCCACTGTCTGACCTAATCACCTCCCAAGGGCCCTGCTTTCTAAACAGCTCAGTCACACGTTAGGTTTCAATGCATGGATTTTGGAGGTCACAGACATCAATCTATGGCAGTATTATTGAAGACAACACCATGCTCAGTGGATGAAGGAAGTCCTTTTAAATTAAGTAGATGGTCTTTTTCTTCCAAATACTGATATATATGGAGGAGAAATTTATTTATTCATCCAACAAGTGCTGAGTGACCCTTGTGAGCCAGGCTCAGTGCTAATTGCTGGGGGCACGGAGTGAATAAAATATGGTCTCAGCTGTCCTGGAACTCACAGTCTAAGCTACCAGCTTGTTTCTATTTTTAACAAAGAACTTTAAACATTTATTTTGGAAACTCATCTGCCCAAGTATCCATTTCATTATAATCACTTATTAATTCAAAACAATTTCTGTTTATTTTTATCACCACAAAAAAAATTAAGGAAAACACTCAGTCCCACATCTGTGAGTGTCTGTCTCACTGGGCATGTAACATCATCTGGGAGCTGTACAAAAACTCTAAAAGTGCAGATAAATGGAAACGGCACAGGTTTAAGCATCAGAAAACTTTAGTTTAAACCTCTGCCACTTATGAGCTGTTGGAGGTCCCTGAGCCTTAAACCCCTCATCCACAAAATGGGAATAAAAACACCTACTTCATATTGTAGACATGAGAATTAAATGAAATAACCAATGTGAAGAACTTAATTTATAGCAAAACTCAGTAAATGCTAGTTCATTTCTCTCATATAGTTCCTTTAAAGGCAGGTGGTCAGATTCTTATTTATGGGGGAAAAAATCACGATTTAGGAGACTTCTGGCCAAGATGGAGGTATAGGTAGATACACTTTGCTTCCTCACACAACCAAAATAAGGGTAACAACCAATTTAAAAACGAACAAACAACAACAACGACAAAATAACCAGAACTACGAGAAAACTGAATTGTGTGGAAGTCTGACAACCAAGGAGTAAGTAACATTCTGGAAGAAGTAACATTCATGCAGACTGGTAGAAGGGGCAGAGATGGGAAGCTGGATCAGCAAGGACACACAGGCAGACTGGTGGTTCCCCATTTGTGTGCGGATAAGCCGAGAGGAACAGCTGGGCAGCAAGGCAGACTCCATAATCCAGGGTTTCAGTGCAGGAAACTAAAGCCTCAGAACCTCTGGTGTAAAAATCTGTGAGGGTTACAGGGGTGGGAGAAACTCCCAGTCTCACAGGAGAGTCTGTGAGAGAGACTCTTGGGATCCTAGAATGTACGCAAGCCCATCCACTTGGGAATCTGCAACTAAAAGGGCACAGTGTGCTTGTGGGAAGCAAAGGAAGTGACTGAAAGCGGGGCAAGAGCTGAGCAAGCAGCAATGTTCCCTCTCTGACCCCTGTCCCACAGATAGCACCACAACACAGCAAAGTGGCTTGCCCCACCCTGAGGAGTAG